TTATATAAGCAGGAAAATAAAATCATATCCAGATGTAGGGACATTGTTTATGTTTTTTTTTTATTTTTTTTTCCTCTCTTTATCCCCACTGCCATCATCCAAACATGATCCTGTTTCTCCAGGTTGTTGCCACCTGACAGGTCATTTTGCATCTGGGGTTACTTCAACTCCAGCATGTTGTATCTTTCATACAAATCCTAAACAATGTCCCTACATCTGGATATGATTTTATTTTCCTGCTTAATCTTTTCAGTATCAGAGATATGAATTCCTTAATAAACTTCTTCCATGACAAGGCCACTGTTTTGCTGTCTAGATTCATCTCTTGGCCGTTCTCTCTGTACACCCAGCCCTTACTATATGCATCTACTGTACGATCTACTATAGGGTACAACTGTATTTACACAAAGTCCCATCATTTCTCTTTCCTTACAAGCTAACTCTCACTCACTTTATATCTTGGCTTGCACCTCGCTATCTCTAAGGAATTCTCTCTGATCCCTGTAGACTGAGTAATAGGTGTCTCCTAGGCAACACTTTAGTAGTCCAAGATTACACCATTTACTATGACTTCAACATTGGGCTGTAATTATCTATTTAATTGTCTATCTTCCCAGCTATAGCTGGAGATTCTCGAAGGCAGGACTTACTTGGGGACTGCTGTGTTCCTAGTTGCAACCACTGTATCTGGCCTCAAGTAGGTTCTCAATAAATATTAATCAAACATATGAATAGGAACTTAAGTATATTTTGAATAGAAGATGAGGAAAGGCGGCTGATGTTACCACAGAGAGAAAACTCAGAATAATGGCAGCTAACAGGTATTGATTTCTTAGTACACATCGGGCAGATAAGATCTTTAAAGGCATCACCCCCCATAATCCTTGCAAAAACCTAATGTGGTAGGTACTATAAATATCCAAGATTTTCTAAATGATAAAAATGAGTCTTGGAGAAGATAAGCAGCTTGTGTATGACCATATTGCCATAATTTTTATCCTTGGAAATTTTTATCCTTGAGATGCGTGACTTTAGCTAGGGCTTATGTATTTTACCACTCCCTTATTTTCTCTTATCCGTGAATGAATCTGCTCTGTAAGGACAAAAAAAAATTTCCTCCACATGAGGCAGGACTCTTTTCTTACAGTCCATGCAAGCTTTTGTTACATAGATGGTCATCCCCTTGACTAGACCGTAAATCTTTGGTGATTTTCCAGGTGTTCGCACACTCATATTTTAATGTGAGTCTGTCTGAGGACAAAATTCCAATTTGGGGAGGCCCCCCATATCTTTCTCCCCTGCTCTGATTGATGTTTATTGTGGGAATAAACCAATGAATGAAAACTGTCTTCAAGGAGCAGAGTGGCCCTTCCCTGTGAAGGCACCAGTACGATCTGCTGTGTATGACTGGCTCCCCTCAAATTAGCATATTTTGCACTCATTTGCTCCAAAGCCTGGCTCAGCAGACGAGATGCATCCCTCCTGTAGAAATGTCTGGGAATGATGATCATCTCATTTCTGACAAGCCAAATGGGTCTCTTGGTTTCATTGGCCCTGTGAATTATTCAATAGAACATGCAACTGACATTTCCTATTTTTCTACATAATAGGGACAATTAGAATGAGGTACCAATGAAGCAGAGTCAGAAGTTAAATAGAAAGTACTTGAATTTAATTTCTCTTTTAGGAAATCTGCTACTTGTCTTTGTTTGTTTTTTTTTTTTTTCTATTTAGAAATTAAGAACAGCCTAGTTTGAAAAGTTCTGCATAGCCTCTTTCTAAGGAGAGGAAGGTAAACTATTCTAATGTTCATAAAACCCTTGACAAAAAACCACAGCATGGTATAGACAGAATGGCCACTTGATCTTTCAGGCTAAGATTCTTGTTTACAGAAAGGATTTTATTTTATTTTATTTACTTTACTTTACTTTATTTACCTAGAAGAAAGGAAAGACTTGTTCATAATTATACTATAAGGTTTTGGAAGAACAAAACAAAATTAGCCAACAACTTAGGCTGAGGACTCACATTCTTGGTCCATGATCAGTTCACAATGCCAGCATTTCTTGAAGGTATGTTTTTTGAAGGCAGAGATGAAAGGGCACTTCCCTTTTCCTGGAGGAGCTTCCAATCAAGTTGCTCTGTATAAAGTGCTCAAAATCCAAGTAGGAAGAAAAAAGAGTGAGATGGGGTAGAGAGAAAGACTTGTAACAAATGGTGGTGACAGAGTTCGGGCTTATACGATCAGCTCTTAGGCTGACCTCCAGGGAGATCCACTTGAGCCTCATTCCTGGCACACATTTTACTTAGGTGTCTCCTCAGAGCAAGGGAGGAATGACCTAGGTTAGCTACAGGATAGTGCTTCTCAGCCCTGCTACCTGGCTGGGCTTGTATAGTAGGGCACTGGGGCAGATAGGAATGCCTTGAAGTGAAAAGTATTTGCCCTTCTGTTCATGAACAGCGTACATGCATTGAGATTCTCCTGAATGATAATCAGCAGGGGCCAGTGGTCACAGGTCACCCAATTGTCTTTCATTTGCATAAAAATCAATCCCAAAAAGCCATTTTGGGGGGGGGAGCGGCTCACCTGTGTTGAAGTATCCACCAGGCCCTGCTTTGTCCCTGACAGTCTGAAATGTTGGCAGCCTGCCTTCTAACCCCCTGTGCCTGCTGGGTCTGTCTGTGAATGCACATTTCCTATTTTGGGATGTAGGCCATTGTGGAGAAAGAGGCCAAGTATCTGTCTATAGCTGGTGTCACCTGAATAAAAAACAGACAGTCCACTTGCTGACTTCTTTGCCGATCTTCAGTCTGTGCGATGTGACTGCCAGTACCACAATCAACCAAGAATTACAGGAAGCTTTTGTGTGCTGGGCAACTTCAACCAAAGTTGTGGTTCTTTGATCTTGCTTTATTTAACTAACGGTGAACAAAATGCAGAGACCACTCCTGATAATAACAGTAAGAGCTGATATTTAATGAGTGGGCCCACGTGCGGCCACTGTGCTATGTGCTTTACATTCACGATCTTGTTGGATATCACCAGAACTTTGAGTGGTATGTGCAGTCATCACAATTCTTTTGTAGATGAGGACCTTGAGGTCCAGAGAGGTTAACATGAACTTGCCAAGGGACATCTGATTAACAGTGGGTAGAGCTAGGGTCTCTTCTCCTGAGCACTGACTCTTCCAGTTCTTTTGCAGCCTTAATGAACTTGGAGGGCAATTGTGTTACACTTCTTTGGGTATGGCCATGTCCTAAATCTCCACTTGGTTATAAAGGAGACTGAGGCTTCTGGCTAATGCATGAGTATGCAGCTGAATGTATGTGCTCTGTGAGAGGTAACACATTGGGAGAGGCAAAGAGAACCCTGAATGTGTTAACTTATCAGCCATCTCTTGAGAACTGTTCTTGTTGTAGTCATTGGACCAGGTACTGGAAATAAAACAATGGGACAAGTGCACGTGCATCGGGGGATACAACAATGAAACTAAAGTCATGCCTCGAAGAACCTCCCTTCTTGTGATGGAGCCAAGCTGGCAGACAAATAACCATGGTGCATAGCTCCTTCTAGACAGGTCCAGGGTCGCACAAGGTGCACAGAGGGACTGTGAAAAATAGTAGAAAAAAGAGGAAATCGGGAAGCTCCAGTAGAGAGGTGACCTTTAGACGTGAAGCCTGAGTAAGAGTTTACCAGGAAAAGATCAGGAAGAATTTTGCAGTATAGAAGTTCTGTAGAGACAGAGAGCAGTACAGCAGCTCTTGAGCCAGTGTTTGTCATGATGAGGTGGGCTATTTTCATCTTTATTATCTAAGTAGATAAGACTGTTAAATAGATGAAGATGGTTTGAAATTCAAAAGGTGATAACAGG